TCAACCACGTTTGCTATTCAGAACGAGGTATGCCCATGGTCGCACAAATCGCAATCGCGCTGATTGTGCTTTTTTCGTACGCATGGAGGAGCTGAACCCTTGCTTTTTTTAAACTGCGTAACGGCGTTGAGCGTGCTGCAGAAAGACGGAACTAGGCATATCAATATTTGAAATTGACAGTGTCTCAAATTAACCAATCAGAAACCTCCAATTTCATATTTTAGATTTGTCCAATCATGGACTGACATTGAGTCTGAATCAATCAGAGATCACGAATGACGATGAAGCATATATAGCCAATCATGGACTGAAAAGCAATTTTGCTTCTGGTCTAGTGTGAAATTCACTCATCGCACTGCAAATTTAATGATGGTACAACGCTTGCGTGTTTTTTCCCGGTTCGATGTACCAACTCAGCACTCTGCTGGCACGGTCGTCGATCTCGAAGATCGGGCCAACATCCATCCACAAGTGTACCCGATATAGATCCCCACCGTCGAGTGCAAACGCCCGAGCTGCGTCTCAATCCGTACCCCCCACTTTTCGGGCGTTACTCGCTGGGCAACGTGCAAACGATCTAAATTCGACCAAATTCCGATTTTCCCTTCCCCGGAAAACTTGGTGAAATGACTTCTTAAGGAGCATGTATGGTAAGTTGGGCAAATTTTATGGGCTCCTTGGAATGGTCACTTTGATGACTTTCTTGAGGTCAATAGTACCCTACACGGTGGCCGCCTAGTCTCACGGTCACCACCAAAAAAGCCGAATTAGCACTTCTGGGCCAAGAGATTCGCCACTGTTGAACGCCGGTCGTCGCTCGACCCGCTCTGACCTCATTTACCTTGACTTTGTCGGAGTTCGCCACGAATTCTACTCCTGCGCGCTCTTACCATGCTTTCACAGACAATCCGCTCTCCCTGGCCTACCTGTCAACAGGCGGTGGCCATGACATCCATATCTATACCGGGCGCGTATTTTCCGGCTACTCCACGCTACCACCTTCTCTTGTGGTTGCAAACCAACTGCTTGATCATACCAGCTCTTGAGGCTCACTCTATTCGGTGTTTGCCAAAGTCTACACCTTTTTCATTGGCTCATGATCAGTTAAGTTCTGGTATGCATTTTAGCTACGTGGTCCAACCGCCGATGCAAAAACAGGTTGGTCGCTGCGCGATAGATTATTGATGCCGCCATGTTGGTTTGCGTAAAGCTATTGAATGATCTGCGAGGGTAAGCTGTGTTTTGGAGACGATGGTCGACCTTTCACACGACTGATCTCGACAACCAGATATTCATTTTGGGTTCCAAATCAGCAAATGATGGCTGCTGTCATAATCATTTCGTTGTACCAACAGCATAGATAGCGAAAACTAAATAATTACGAGTATTGAAATTCTAGAAGAATTGCACCAGTTAAATTGTTGAAAGTGTGTCCAATTACAGTTATTACGGACCGGAAACATATGACATAGAATATGGCTGCCTGAATCGACGCATGCCGAACGACCTTCACCCTCTTGGGCTCGGTAGTTGATCACAGTCAACGAAAAAGGTATACCTTGGGAAGGTGAATCCACGCGTCATGTTGAATGGTGTTGATAAAGATCTTTGTATTGAAGAAAAATGCAATTGAGTGGGGTAGCTCTTCACACGGCGGTGGCGATAGGTCTGTGGACGTGGTGCGTGTGGGCTCTTGGTAGCCCTGACCCAAGAATCTGCAAAGGTCACATATCAATTGGAAGAATGACTGGAAACGCGTAGGACACGAGACGCTCATGCAACGTCTTCGGTGCATGCCATTAAATGTAAGAACGCTCGTCGGATTTGGCGAGACGCGTTGTAGCATGGCGAGGTGTCTGGATTGAGAATGCACTTACATCGCTGAGTGGTTCAAGCAATTCCCGCTACCACTCCACTCGCCAATACTCCCGCTGGACTTTGATCCCCTTCAGACAAGGTGAAACAATAGTTCAGAGTGGCTGCTGCTCAATTGATCTGCGCAATTTTGAGCGCTTCCTGGTAGCGCGCACTGACCGCGGTTTCTCGAGGATGCAACTCTAACTGGTATGGTTTTGGCTTGAAGTTGCGGGCCCATGTTCCACTGCTGCAGCGCGGTCAATTGTTGCTGGTCGGCGTAATTCGGTTGTGCCGGTGGCTAATGCACATGTATACTGTACACGTTGATGCACTGTC